CGTCCTCAGTCACCTGGGTTCCACAACTGGCCTGTGTCTCTAACAAATCTGGTGTTTTCCTCTCAGGCGATGTCAGCTTACTTGATATTGACAGATTGTCAGTGGTCACATCTATCGTGCCATCTTCTATATCAGTTATACTCATGGAAGCATCATTCTCAGCATCTTTTTCTTTTTTCATTTTTCTTTCTTGATCAGAGCATGCGATATCACACGTCGTTGTATAGATAAAACTTTGGACGGAACTATCAGTAATTTGTTCGGATTTGTTCTTGTGTCCACTTTCTTTTTTATACTCTACATCTTCAGTTTTCACATTCTTTACCTCCTTCCTACAAACCATGGATTTTTCAATAGATAATTGCAATTCTTCTCCGTCAGCCAGCTGTTTAGTGTCCCGATTAAAGATATGATTTTTCAGTTCTATGCTAGATTTGTGATTGGCAGATTTTTCCGTAGATTTTGGTACTGGTATGTTATCAGGTGCCTGACTTCCATTTTCTGAAGTACTATCAGATCGAGGTTCAGTACTGGCGTCGATATCAACTGACCTAAGCATTTTTTCGTTATGCTTGTTTCCAGCAGTTTGAGACTTTGCTCCGTGATCCATCGATGTTTCTGTTGGAGACGACGGTATTTTTGTTGAACACTCTGACGAAGATTTTGTGATTAAACCATCGTCTGGTTTTGATTGTTTTGAAATGCAATTTGTTGTTAAATAAGTTAAGTTATTCTTTGTTGAATGGCTTGCGAATGTGCTGCATTTTGCCACGCTTGAGTTTAACCTAAGGTCATTATCACTAGGATCTGAGTTACCTAGCTCATTCCCGTAAGCAGTAATCTTAGCTATTTCAGTTTTTGCATCAAAGCTGCTTTGACAATCGACTGCCGGTTCGGTAGCAACCACTGATAAGAGTTTGTGTGCATCTGTGGTACCTGATATATCCTGCAGCTCTGTCTGTCTTACCTCTGTACTGTTTAATAGTTCGCTGCAGATTGTGGACGCAAGGTTCGCTTGCTGCACAAGAATGTTAAGGACACCTGTCAACATCATTGCTGACAGTTGGTATGGTTCCTTTTGATATTCTGCTTCTTTAATCACTTCTAATGCTTTATTTGCTAATTGACTGCAGACTAGACTTGTGGTGTAACTTTCTTGGAATCCTTTGACCAAACTGCTTTCTTGTAAATTTGTGCCATCGCCATTGCCAGTATCAGCAAATTTCTTATGCTTTGTTTCCGAATATTTCTGGTACGATTGAAGCAATTTGCCTAGATCATTTGCATTTGTATCCAGACGAGAGGCTCTCTCCGTTGCAAATCTACTTGTTATCGATGACAGGTCATTTTTGCTAACAAGTGTAGCAAAATCCTTTGGTTGAAGTTTGCGCATTTCAACAGTAGGTACTGCATGAGTGCTGTCAGACTGTTGCAGCTTTGGTACTGTAGTGGTCATCACTGTCCTAGAATCACAACTGGAGGAAGAGGAATCTCCTCGAGGTACAGTTTCTGTGACGGTTTCATCCTCCTCAATTAAAGTCGACTCTGATGAAGCCCTTGAAACTATTACAAGCCTGCCCTCATCACTGTCATCAATTGGGTCATAGTACAGTATCCCAGACCGGTCCAATACACTGCCGTCCAACGACAGACTCTCCTTGTTTTGTTCAACACTCTCTTGACTCATCTGTGGTGTCAGGTTTTCAGCCAAGTCGGAACAATGAATGAGATCAGGTTCTTGGATAAAAGGTCTGTCATTACTTAATTGGTAAGACTTCGTGATATTTTCTCTGTATTCGGTTAAGGCAGGGTCATACATGGAAGTTGAAGAATGGCTTTCCTGTTTTGTGTCTATATTCGCAACCTCAAGTTGAGTGTTATCCTTGTCACTATCCCAGTCCTGAAACTCCAGCTCAGGACTATCATTGTTCTCTAGCAAACTATTGAACTGGAAGTCATTGAGAGACATGGGCGAACTGAATCTGGTGGAAGAGGCACACGAGTCTAATGACATCTCCGATGACCTGTGCATTACGGCTCTTTCTGTCTCTTCGTCATCATCTCCAGTAATGGATATTATATCTCCATCGCTGTTCCCAACAACTGACATTCTAGCCTTAGTATTTTCAGTAGTAGAAATATTATCAACCTGATCAATTCTAGACTGACTCATGTCTTTAGATTCAAATTTACTGTCAGCATTTATAACAACGAGCCCATATTTCTCGCTAATATCAGCAACGGACAAGTCATCCTTTTTAGTATTCCATGCAAGAAACAGCTCATCTCCCTCGTCTTTTTCAGTAATAGATATATTATTATTATCCAAGTCATCTTTATTTAACAAATTATCCTCACCACCTTTACCAAAACCTGAGAGCCCATTTTCCTCGCCATCTCCAGTATTAGGTAACACATCTCTATCATGATTTTCGGATTTCTCCTTGCTCACAGTAAATGATATTTTAGGGTGAATCAGGGGTGGTGATGTTTTTGGTTCTTTTGCTTTGAGCTTTGTTTTGTTATCAGAGTTACCCGTTACGTGTGACGATGAGTCATAGGACTTTTTCTTTTCTTTGTCTTTCTTTTTTTTCTTTGATTTTTTATGTGATCTTTTGTGTTTGTGACGAGACCTTCCCGGTGATAAGCAGGCATCATTACTAATAACATCAGCATTCATAGAGTTCTGCTTAATTTTACTGTCCTGGCTATGTGTTGTGTGTGTCGCTACAAATTCTTTTTTATGTGAACTTTGATGTTTTTGTACTGAAAATGTAGAATCTGAATATTCCTTGAGATCAATTGTTTCTGCATTGCTTTTTACTGGCACGTCACTTTGTTTTGAAGACTTTTCTGGTGGCAAAATCTGCTTTGTTTTCTTGTGCTTTTCTTGCGAATTTCCACTATGTTTCTTTTTTTGATCCAATGGAGTGAACCTCAGCACTTCTCCGCAGAAAGATTTTTGGTCGTGTGGCTCTCCAACTCCAATCCATTCTTGCATTCTTTTCAGCCATACATTGTGTGTAAGTTCCTGAGAGAATAGTGTATCATTCTGGTCCGTCTTAGGCGCTGTTTGGGGAACAGTTGCTGGACAAGATCGAGTGCGGTGATGATGTCCCCCTTGGCAGTACAAGGAACTTACTTCTGGCACGCAATTGGCCTCCGTAGTTGAGTAAGATATGACCTTGTCAACATTGTCAGTCTGTGTAGCTGGTGCTGTGACTTCTCTGATTTCGGAGCCAACATTGGCCTGGAAACATGAATTTATTTTATCTAATTTAACATAATAACCCCCAATAAAAAAAGAAAACCAAAACAATCAAAACTCATCTCTAATATATCTGTTCGGCAGAGTATGAAATCTAGATGGGAAAAATTAAGCGATTTCACAGCAGTGTTCAAAAGTTCAACTTTTAGTCTGTCCGTCTTTGGTCATTTCATTTACAATGTGTGCAGTCATCTTAGTATAATTGAGATTCGATTCTAGGAAATAACGGCCCATGTTATGTGCCAGAGAGAAACAAACTTTGGATTTGGTTGGTTGCTTGAAAGGTCATCTGAACATGGCCTTTGACTGTCATATCTTCCCAACGTTGTGTTATAATGGTGATCTGTATTTCAAGCGGATTGCTTGTAGCTAATAAATAATATGAATTCGGATCAAACGATTTTAAGTTAGGCTTTAGGAGCTTATAGATATTATACACCTGTGTGGATATCTTGATACTGACAAAGATCAATCATTTCATATCAACAGATTCTATAATTCTGTAAAGCAGTTTATTTTGGTTAAGATGCCTACTTCAAGTATGGTCATGAACTATACATATTCGAAGAACCACACAACGTATGAAAACCGGTTGAATCACCAATGAAGAATGTAACCTCACCAATTTGGACAACGACGAACGACTCACAAGTATGTCACATCTATCTCTGCTTTGGTCATTTAGAACGGCCGAAGGGCACCTGATGCATGTGATTTCCTCACTGTCATTTCTTTCCGAGGTCAGCCATTGTCTTTGATGACACTTTCAAACAGGATGAAGGTTTCTTAACATTATATTATCTATAGCTAAACTTCTTTCGTTACTTATTCTGATGTTATTACTAATTTTGATAAGCACTACATTTTAAGATGTCATCAAAACCAAGTTGCATCATCACAGAATATCAAATCCTTTTTAATTCATCTTTAAAATAAGTTTTGAAATATTCCTAAGAACAGTATCGACATGTATTGATTGTAGAAATGACTTAAACAAGACAGATGAATGAGAAGCTAAAACTGGTGTTCACAAAGTGGCTAATCCTTGAGTTATCTTAACAGATATTTACCCGAACACAAGTATGGTGACCACATGACATTTGGACTGGATGGTGACCAGCTGTTACAAAACACTGACTCAAGCATGTAGAACATCGGCCTGCACTGTTAAAAGCCATTGTTAGAATGGTAATAGCGACATCATCATTGTAACTCGAGCTGAAATCAAGAAGCAATGCTGAAAACATATTCTAACGCCGGTTAGCAATTATATAATCATATCAACAGAGGTTGGGTAAAGTGGATAAAAATCTTAGACTCACATACGACTTAGGCTGAAACTAAGGTAAGATTCTTTACTAATTACCAGCTTAAATAAGTTTGTCGCATTACTTTACTGCATGCTATTTGTTTACTTTTGTCAGGTGTGGGCCATTGTTTTGACTAATTAATCTCCTGCGTAATGTATTGCGATTACTATAATAAAACACAATGAAACACAGACTGGCAGTTGCTAATACATAGTCAACACACTGACAACTAGATATTGAACGAGGGATGTTTTGTTTTGACCTACCTGCACTATCCGGAAGTTTTTATTTGAAATTTGCCGCTCGTGAATATTACTACGACCTTCACCTGTGTCAAAGGTCACATTTACCTCGTTTTCAGTGTGTCATGGCTGCGCCCTTGTTCATGCGTTGGATGTCAACAAACTCTCCACCAGCTTTGATAAAATAAACAGACAGGCAGATAACTTGCAAGAAATGTGTAGTACGGTGTATACATACACCATTTAAGCCTGTCTGCATTTTTTCTGCCATTTAATGTTTTACCAACTCTTTAAAACAGATGTTTGCTACCTATTTCACTTACACTTGTAGATGTTATGATTGGTGTATCTGTATTATCAGCCGACAGCTATAGACATTAGGCTTGAAGATGTCGCTATGTGTTCAGTTGTATCGCTTTGGGCGACAGGCTTGGTGTAGATCACACATTCAAAGAATCGTTGTGAACCAGTATAGCCAGGTCAGAAGATATCAACACACTGTCCACAGCAAGACGTCGGAGTACGAGTCGTCACTGTTTGTCAGTGGAGTTCACCAGGATGACACTCTGTTGCTGTCTCTAGACCTTGATATTGAGGCAATGTTACAGGACTTAGATTCCAATATACACGCCAGAAGACATGCCAGTTGGAACAGTGATAATATTCGTCAGTTTGTAAGTTGCCGGCCATGTAATTATTTTGAATCATGATTTAAAGCAATCGAGAGATTAATACCTTTGGTATATGTTTTAGTTTTCTTAAAGCTAAAAGTAGTAAACAAAATTAAATTTCAAATGTAAAACTGAGGAGTTATAAATATTCAGATATAATAATTGCAGATTATTCTGCTGTTGTGTGGTATGACGGAACATTTTGATATGGGTCTCGACAGGAATTTAGCGCAGGTCTTGCCTCTGATTATCCAAATCTCATAATATTAATGGTTACGCACCAACTGGAATTGAAACTGGGTCTGTAGCATGATAATCCACATCTTTATCAACTTTGGTTGGGGTTGGGGGAGTTATTTTTGCGATAAATTTTCATTTTTTTTTATTGTCAATAAAATCTATGCACTTCACAAAATATTACACTGATAGGGATTTTTCACGATCTTACAACCTTTGCATAATTAGCTTAAAATTCCCCCTCACATAAATTTTGATGCCTACAGTAAGCCCCCTTGGAAAATTGGTATGAAAATTATTAATCTTTCTAAGACTGTTTATTTTGAAAAAAATTAGTTGTGTATTTGGAGAAAAGTGGTTTATAATAAAAGTGAGGTGTTGCAAAAAGGTATCTCCCTAATCCAAGATAAAAAAGAATTATGATGGAGAGTCAAAGCAAATTGGAATGAAATGGTTGTGTAGGTCGAGTGTTTAATTGTGGATGGTCTGATTATATAGGAATGATGAGAAAAAAAATCTTCTTTTGCCTTTAAACAGAAAGACAACTGCAAACGATTTGTGGAGATGAGAGCAAAGTTGAAAAACATAGAGGATGATCAAAAGAACACAACTTTGGCTTTTAAATCTATTAAGGAGAAGGAGGTAAGTTTCTTTTGTTGATTTATTGCATAATGTTAACTCTAACAGAGTGACATGGAACCATACAATACCACACAACACGTTCTTCAGAAAACTGGAACTCAGTTAGGAACATTCAACAGTGGAAAGTGATCTGATATTTGTAATAGTATATTAGTTCAAATGCAAAATAGTACAAGTGTAAAAAATGTATTGGGTATATAATTTTTCGTATAAGTTCTTTGAAATCATTATTAAGTAATATGTGTCACAGTGTTTGATAACATGGATGATATAATTGTTTATCTCTGGTAGTTATAAGAATTCACTGTAGTAAATCACATAATCATATAACTCTCTTGATATTTAACAAAGGCTAGTTTTAGTTTGGCTCAAAAACCTTACCCAACCATGAACCTAGAAGTTTGTAAGTCCACCATATGTTTTTGTAATTTTCATGGAAGTAGAACTTAAGTCAAGATTCCTTCCCTATATATCCTAAATTACCTCCATTAAGATAGAATTGAATGGTGCCCCTGGTTGTGGTTTTTTTTTATTATTAATTTTCATTTATTTATTTTTCATTATTATTATTTTCATTTCTCTTTTTCATTGTTTTCAAGCAAAACTTGACTATGACAAAAGAAAAAGCAGACCAAGAGAGAACACATTTGAGGGAGAAGGGGAGACAATTGAAAAATCAGCACACCAGCATCATGGTGAGTGTTTCTCTTAAAAGGACTAGATTGTCATATCATCAGTATTATTATATGAATTGCTAAACGTAAGTCATTCTTACCTCTTCATGAAAATACAACCAAAACCCAGTTACTTTTACTGTGAAATTCACTTTCCTATATTTCAAATTTCAAAATCTTGACTCATTGAAATATATTTACCTCCCAGAGTCTCATCTCTGTTCCAATATCTTCAACAACTCAAAATTGTCTTTCTCTGCTGATGACAGATCACTGGCAGTTATGTATAGCTTATGTATGTTTTGTTTACATATCACAGACATATGCATACATCGTACAACTGTTTAGTTTCTCCTCCCAGCTGTTAACTGAGTTTTTGTCGTGATGATATTTTCTGATTGATTGTTGGAACTCCTACATATATATAGTTTGTTTAGTCACTTCTTAAAAGGAAAAGTACAAATATACTATTCATTCACATAATATTGAACTGCAGAAAAGCTTGCCACAATATACTCCACCTAATAAATGACTAATAAGGATAATGGTGAGACAGGATACATGTATTTACTAAAGTAAGACTCTGGTGTGAGATAAACAATTAAGAAGCTAAATGATGTGGTAGATTTAATGTGATATTTTCATTTAATGTGAAGTACTCATTATCATTTGTTCAATTTTAATCATACGCTGGTGTAGCTATTTTATCGGGTTTTTTAATTTATATTCATATAGGATGAATATTTTACTTTGGAGCAAGCTGTCTTCATCCGCGCTCTTCAGATACCTAACCATTTACATATCGACACGGTGAGTGAGCTGTTTTCTGATTACTGTAAACAGTATATTTATATAACACTGTCAAATTCTAGCGCACGCACAGAAAACTGTACAGTACGATTTAAGTATTGACATGAATTACATGTAGTGCAGTCGGAAAATCCCTATTTCTAAAATTAGACACCAGAGCTCCTTTCATTTACTATTGTTGTTTGTGTAGTGTTTGGTAATAGATGTCAAATGATTTCGAAAGATTTTGTTTGTTATTGTACATGTACATACCAAATTTTGATTTCAAAATTTAGTGCTAAATTTGTATTAACACAGCACAAACATCACAAAAAACACTTAAATTAAACTAACGCTAATTATAAGTATGTGTACAGTAACTAGATTCAACACGTAGAAATGCTTGTTATAAACACCAGCTTAGTATTATGAAGTACACATGTACTGACAACCCAATTTCAAATATCTACCATCACAAGCTGGAGGACTGATAGAATATTGTAAACCTACCTTCTGTCGCGTGTGATTTCCTTTCTGCACATTTACAATAAAAAAATGCAAACATTAATTACTGTGAATTGACAAATGTGCAGTTTATCCTGAATCTACATTTATAGGATATACATCTATTATGAGTTTCATAAATTTGAGGTTAAATTCAGTGTCAAGGATTACTTAGTCTCTTGAATGTTTGGTTTTAAGGAGTTTGTGATTGGTAAATGAAAGACTCCAGATGGGATCTGTAGCAGGTCTGAATTCTTTGACAGGGTCACCTTTATACAGTAGGACTTATGCCATGCAAGCTTCCGAATAACCTTCATATCATAATCTAAACACAAGACACCTATATACAGTGGTAACCTTTCGTCTCTAGTTCAAATTTGATACAGTGGTAACCTTTTGTCTCTGATTAAATTTTTTGATAGTGGTAACCTTTTGTCTCTAGTTCAAATTTTATAAAGTGGTAATATCTTGTCTCTGGTTAAACTTTTATATAGTGGTAACATCTTGTCTCTGGTTAAAATTTTACAAAGTAGTCACATCTTGTCTTGTCTCTGGTCATGCATATTGGATCATTTTGAATATTAAAAAAACTTTGTCAAGTTCCACTAGAAGGTTCTCAAGGGTGCCTAACAGCAAATTGGATTTCAGTGCTACTCTGACAATAAGACAGACAGCTGAGAGTTTGAAATGTTGGCAGTTTTGTTGTACAGCTGATGAATACACACACATTTCACCTAGATGATTGGGACTCAGTTCCCAGACTGGATAGTATTTTGGAGTGTAGGAACACAATCTCACATTATGGACATAGTAATACAACAACACTTTAGTGAGACCTTTAATTGAAATAGTTTAAAAAATGAGTTCTTTTTTCGTGATCTAAATGTTAAGGTACATGATAGTTATCAGTAGTTGTTAAAATACCTGATTTTATCATTATTTTTTTTTTTTTTGTTACAGCCAACAGAAGATGAAGTAAAAATATTGGACAAGTGTGGCTCTTCTGGTAAGGTGTCCTGTCATATATAAATTATTTACCTTGTTAAGATATACACAACAGTATAAAGTATATCCCAATGTGTAACAAAGTAATAATTTCTATTAAGGGCTCTAACACAGTTGATTTTTTTCTTTCGTCAAGAAAAGTAGCTGTTTTGCTTTGTTATCTTACTTAAACAGTGTTTAATTTCTCAATCTATTTCAGAAAATGTCAAGGTGTCCAGTGAAAAATTGAAAAAAATACTGAAGAAATGTGTAAAATTTAGGTAAGGTATTGAACAGATCCCAACGAACGGTATTCATAGAATGTATGGCTCAAAAGTGGCCATCTTAGAATTTGAAAGTTAAAGTTTGTTGTGGCAATTTTGCAAGATATATTTGAGAGATCTTTCTCAGATTCCATATGTAGGTTTGCTTTGGTCTCTAATTGTGTCCTTGGGTATCAATTAAAGACTACTGTATTATCGCAATTTCTGAATTTTCAAATTCATATATCTAAGGGCAAGAACTGAGAAAATAATAAAAAGAAGGGAAAGATTTACCTTTCAAAGAACAAATACAGTCTGGGCAATTTCGTTCACTAAGATCCCTCTTGGGTCTCTAGTGTCTTCAGTAATGTAGGTCATATGTCTTACTTTTTGTCTTCAGTGATGTAGGTCATATGTCTTAATTTTTGTCTTCAGTAATGTAGGTCATTTGTCTTACTTTTTGTCTTCAGTAATGTAGGTCAGAAGTCCTACTATCTAATGTCAGACGCAGCCCTTAAAGAACAGGAACTCATTATCAGACTGTCTTCAGAGCTAAAGAGTTCCGGGTTCACACACATGGTGTGTCCTGAGATCTTCAAGACTGTCCCTGTTGTAAGTATTATTACTAGATTCTGTCCCCATGGTAACATAATAAAGCAACAGATTAAGATTAAGGGAACACAAGAAAGTCCTCATGGAAACGATACACTCATATTAACTGTTCACAAACCTCACCCATTAGTAAACAAGACTTTTCCCTTAGTAAATGTACACTAAATCTGTTTCTATAGTAACAATACACAAAACTGTCTCCATAGTAACAGTTTACCAGAATGTCTATATTGTAACACTATTCTATCTCTTTTCTATGTTTTCACTCTCAAAATGGTAAATAAAAAAGGCTGGCTATGGTTATCAGAAATCAAATCTGAAATACATACATGCTTTTTTCAGAAAAAAAAAATTATTTATAAATATGTAAAAGTGTGTCATTGTTTATAAATGTATAGGTGTAACAATGTTTACAAATGTATAGATGTGTCTTTGTTTATGAATTTTTCAGGAAGGTTCTGGCATTGTCCCTCCAGGCCCTGAGGAGGTAAGGAGTTCGTTGTTGTGCACATGTCTGGTTAACAAGTGTTTCTATACAGCTTCAATTTACAGGTTTCTACAATAATCAATAGCAAGATCAGTAGGATACATCATTTTAATGTCTCTACGTTTGTCAGTCCTTGTTTGCCTTACACTGATTTTCATGCCTGAAGATTTAAGGTCAAATCATTTGTGTTATAAAAAGTTTCCTCACACTCAAGCTTTTGTTTCTAACTATTCTAAAATGTATAAAAAGTATGTTTGTCACTGTAATTATCAATATTACCTCTGCTAGCTGCCAAAGCAATCCATCCAGTTCTGGGGTATTCAGATATTTCTGTGAAACTGGTGTGTCTGTCCATCTGTTTGTCTGTCCATTTGTCTGCCTTTTGACACAATTTTTTACCACCTTCTCCTCCCACAATTATTCCCAGATTTGGACAAGTCTTTGCACACTTATTTTTACCAACATGTTCTTGTGTCTCCCTGAATATCATTATCATGTCCTACAGTTTTCATTAGAGTTACGACCCAGGGTGTCGCCATGTTGACCAGTCCTTGTGCTAATGGCTTATAATCTTGGCAACAATTAGTATTCTGTATTCATATCTACTGATACATGAGAGTATTGTATGCACGAATGTAAGCTACACTTCTGACAAGTTTAGAAGTCATTGGGTCAAAGGTCACAGATGCATTACGGTACCAAAATACCTAATTATCTCCAAAATGGTAGTTTTTTTTGTATACAAATATACAACAGAGTATTTAAAGAAACTAATTTTTGAAGAAAAAATTTTCATACCTAATTAGATGATGTCTTGCAAGTAACGATTATTTTGGTTATCAATTTTACTAGATTAATGGCTCTTGATACTTCTGTCACAGACACAATTTATCCACTATTTCTTCTATGAGGATTTATGCCTAGATATTCATAAAACAATTTTGCTATACGACAATATATGATCGTGTGTCACTGCAAACATTTGTATTTGTGAACATGAGTTCCCCTATCCTTTTACCATGCCAGTCAAAAATTTTAATGTGACATCTTATGTTATGGCATTGTCTGTCCATTCATTGTAAACTTTAATTTGTCTGGAGATTTCCCCCCACAGTTTTCAACTGATCTGTCTCAAACATGGACAGCCTGATACTTGGCTAATATGTTCCCTGGATGAAACCCAACAAAAGTAGTTAAAAGAATTACCAGTTGCCCTATATTCAAGTAAAAAGAGGTTCTTCCTGATGTCTGTCTATTTCTACATTACCCTGTCTAATGTTTTTCTTTATTATTATTTCTACAGATCTATAACTTAGAAATACAAGACGTCAACAAAGAGAAAACACACATCCTACCATATAAGGAATACATACGAGGAACATCTGTGTTGTCTTTTTTAGGTCAGTATATATTGGGATCTGTCCAGTTGCTTATTTACAAAGATAATCATTGATGATTTTTATCAATTGTGGTGAAACGTCTTTTGATGGGTTAATTTGTTTGTTTACGGAGATATCTTTTATTTTGTCAGTTGACATAAATTTCTTTTATAAGCTTACCTGGTCTGTTATGCCATATGGTTTCCGTCTGTCAACTTTTTCTATCAGTTGCTGCTAGTCATAATTTTGACCAGATTTGGTCAGAAGCATCCTTTGGGGAAGCAAAGCAAATTTTAAAAAAAAAAATGGAAAGAAAAAATGATGGATCTTGGTCCCCAGGGGCCTGATTGGCAAGTTTGAATATGGGAAATGGAGCAAATTCTTCAAAATCCTATTCCTTCTGTAGAAATGATTAGATTTTTCCCAAATTTGGTTTCAAGTATTCTTTGGTGAAAGGAAATCAGTTTTGTATATATTAAGAGTGGGTCTCAGTCCACAGAGGCAGGACCCATTATAGGGAAAATAGAAGATATTTCTTGAATCCTTCTCCAACTGTAGGAATGGCAGGATTAAAATGTTTTTGAAATATGAATGGTTTGACTGACCTAAGGGACAGAAGGTTGGAGCCCAGTAGCAAAAACTAGGTACATTGTGTGCTGGATATTGAGGTTTTCGTTTCCTTTACTTTTGATAAAGTAATTTCAACCAAGCAAAGCTAGGTGAGCGATACAGCCCTATGGACCTCTTTTGTCAATTTGTTGGTTTATAGAAATATCCTTTTTTTTTTGTTAGTTTACAATATCGTATTGTATACTTATGTTGGTGTTGCAGCTTACTTTACTAGACATGTTCTTACCTCTGAAGATCTCCCAAAGAAATTCTTCACTGTTGGAAGGTCGTATGACACTGGTAGGTATTATAGCCACTGTTGACAGGTCGGATGACACTGGTAGGTATTATAGCCACTGTTGACAGGTCGTATGACACTGGTACAGGTAGGTATTATCTTCACTGTTGACAGGTCGTATGACACTGGTACAGGTAGGTATTATCTTCACTGTTGACAGGTATGATTTTCAGGGTTGTAAGTCAAGGTTATGGTCACTATTACTATATTTAGAATTGTATCATTTGTGATGCTTTGGTTTAAATGGAAAACACCTGTAAGTATAAGCTGTGTTGGTAACACTGAGTTTGAAACACAAAGAGATGTATTTCTGTATATACGATATTGTATTTTACAGCGCAACAGACTAACTCACTGCCAGGCTTGTACGGTGCCTCACAGAACATATGTGTAAGTTTATTCTCAAAAATACTATTTCCTTGTATGTTTTGTTAGAAAAGTAGTCCTATAACATATCATTTGGTTTCATTTATGCCTCTAAAGATCAGTAGAATAAATCATTGTTTTATACCACAATCAATACAGTAAACAAGGATCAATGCTTCAGGTAGGTTTTGTTGTAAATAATAAGTGATATGAATATACTTACAAAACCTAGTCATGATATATACATGTATGGTTAATAAGTCAAGGTTATGGTCACTATGTACTATATTAGAATTGTATCATTTGTGATAATTTGGTTTAAAGGAAAAACACCTGTAAGTATAATTGTGTTGTAACACTGAGTTTGAAACACAAAGAGATGTATTTCTGTATATACGATATTGTATTTTACAGCGCAACAGAGTAACTCACTGCCAGGCTTGTACGGTGCCTCACAGAACATATGTGTAAGTTTATTCTCAAAAATACTTTTTCCTTGTATGTTTTGTTAGAAAAGTAGTCCTATAACATACCATTTGGTTTCATTTATGCCTCTAAAGATCAGTAGAATAAATCATTGTTTTATACCACAATCAATTCAGTAAACAAGGATCAATGCTTCAGTACATACTTAGGTTTTGTTGTAAATAATAAGTGATATGAATATACTTACAAAACCTAGTCACTGATATATACACTGATATATACATGTATGTAGATTAATAACACATACAGGGTGTATTTGTGAATAATTATTGTGTACAGGTCAGTAACATGGTAGTACAGGTAAATAATTATTGTGTACAGGTCAGTAACATGGGTGTACAGGTCAGTAACATGGGTGTACAGGTCAGTAACATGGGTGTACAGGTCAGTAATTATTGTGCACAGGTCAGTAACATGGGTGTACAGGTCAGTAATTATGGTGTACAGGTCAGTAACATGGGTGTACAGGTAAATAATTCTTGTGTACAGGTCAGTAACATGGGTGTACAGGTCAGTAACATGGGTGTACAGGTCAGTAACCTGGGTAAATATGTCAGTAACATGGGTGTACAGGTAAATAATTCTTGTGTACAAGTCAGTAACCGGGTGAATAGGTCAGTAACATGGGTGTACAGGTCAGTAACATGGGTGTACAGGTCAGTAACCTGGGTAAACAGTTCAGTAACATGGGTGTATAGGTAAATAATTCTTGTGTACAGGTCAGTAACCTGGGTAAACAGTTCAGTAACATGGGTGTACAGGTCAGTAACCTGGGTAAACAGTTCAGTAACATGGGTGTACAGTTCAGTAATTATTGTGTACAGGTTTGTAACATGTACATTATTTCAATATAGGCAGAAGTTGCTGCTCTATCCGGGAATATCACTCAGAATGAGGCTATGTACCATGACCTGCAGGAAATGTTGTGGAGTAGTCTCTCGAATCTGGACATTCCAGCCAGGTATAAGTTCCCTACACAAATATACTTAACAAATAAAAGGTTATCAAGATTTCGGCAGCAGCTGTTGTCAGGTTTCACTGAAATATGGTAAATGGGAGGTCAAATGTTTCAGTAGAATGTCTGTTTATGGATGATTAAATGCTGACTTAAATACATTAGGGTTCAGTGATTTTGTGTGCTGTACAAGACATGTTCCTAAGAACAGTGTTTGTTATTTGTGTGACCTCCATTGGCTAGGACCACAGCATTACGATGGCAGCACATAGTGCCTGTATATTGTCAAGTGGTGTGAGCTGGAATGGCATTCCTCTCCTCATCCAATGCTTACCCTAGTTCCTGTAAGAGGGTGGATTTTACCAGCAAGGTACTTGTCTTCAAAGAACATCCCAGATGTGCTCTATTAGATTCAGATCAGGGAATTTTGCTAGCTAATCCATAACTTGGGCATTGTTCTGGTGTAAGAGTGCCTAGTCACGTGACTGGTATGAGATGTTACATTATCATGCTGCAAATGGACCCAGCTCTTTGACACTGTAAAAACAGAATGGCAATGGGTGCTAAAATCTTGTCCCAATGTTAATTGGCATTGAAATTGCCATTGGCAATGACTAATCTCAGTTCAATATCCAACAGATATGCCACTACAAATCATCACACTATCCCTTCTAGATCTGTCAGCCTTAGTTACACAGAAGTCTGTGAAACACTCCTTCCAATGTCACCATACTCACTGGCTGCCATGATTGTACATCAAACAAAATCCCGACTCATCAGTGAACAGAACATTGTTCCACAGCTGCTCCTTGGACAGTCAGATATTGAAGCGGTTGCATTAAAACACTGCCATAAATGACATAGTCTTTTGGCTATACCCAAAATGGTGTTCAACCTTGCATTGGGTTGCACCACCTTTGAGCATGCCAATAGCCATTATTCTCTCTTCTTTGTGAATTATGTAAATCAATACAATTAAAAACCAAATGATGAATTTTCAAGTGATTAAAGTTTGGAGATAGTGCTTAGAGCATTTTATGAAATTCATCTGAACAAATCTCGAGTAATGTGAAGGAATTTGTTTTGTTTAATGCGGCAATCTTTGAATTTCACACCTGACTGATTTTAGAAACTAATCCCGAGATTCCTACAAAACACATTAGTATCTGAAAAATATCTGCCTAGTTACTTGATAACACTTTTTTTATTTGTTAACTGTGTAATTAGAACAGATCTACCCAGGGTTTTCTTATAATCTTCAAGGTACTGTTTTTGTGATTTTATTCTAACAAGTGAAATATCTCCCTTGCTGAAAATATCTGCCTGTATATTTACCTTTCCAAACCAAGATTGATATTTTCAAAAATATCCAACAGATATGTAAATAGAATATAAGTGTTACAGAGACTTATATCTGTTACAGAATGGTTCTAGTGCCTGCACACTCCTTACACTGTTCTGAGCGGAGGAGGACAGAGGTACAGTTTTGGTCACCAAATCTTCAGCAATATATACAGGTGAATATTGGTGTCAAACTATAGGTTCTCTCCCCTGAAAAACCCTTTGTCTTCTTGTTATCATATCTTCAACAATATATACACATTATCGTTGATGTCAGACTATAGGTTATCTCCCTTGAATTACCTTTGTCTTTACACAGATGATTATTAGTGTCAAACTAAAGGTTATCTCTCCTGAATACCATATATCTTCTGGTTATCAAACCTTCAGAAATATATACAAATGATTATCAATGTCAAACTATAGGTTATCTCCCCTGAATTACCCTTTGTCTTTCTGGTAAACAAGTCTGCAATATCTACAAAACCAAAGGTTCTCTCCCCACTATCTATCCTGAATACCCTTTGAGGTGTGCTTTTCAGTATTTAAGTATTTCACTGTCTGATATATCTGTACATACCCACACAACAATATACCTGTATAGCTATATATACAGTGACACACCTGAACACTCCTTTATCTGTACATTCATCATATACCTATATATACCTGAGATACCTTCCTGTTACAGGTGGGGTCACTATCATGCTATGGAGATTATTTCAGCAGACGTCTCATGTACAGACAGAATGCTAAGCCTTTAAAGGAGCCGGTGTCAGAGTCTAGCCTCGTCTACACAGTAAGTTGTCACACTAATCCTATATCTACACAGTAAGTTGTCACACTAATCCTACATCTACATAGTAAGTTGTCACACTAATCCTACATCTACACAGTAAGTTTTCACACTAATCCTACATCTACACAGTAAGTTGTCACTCTAATCATCTACACAATAAGTTGTCACACTAATCTTACACCTACACAGTAAGTTGTCACACTAATCCTCTACACATTAAGTTGTCACTCTAATCCTCTACACAATAAGTTGTCACACTAATCTTACACCTACACAGTAGGTTGTCACACTAATCCTACATCTACACAGTAAGTTGTCACACTCCTACATCTACACAGTAAGTTGTCACACTAATCCTACATCTACACAGTAAGTTGTCACACTAATCCTACATCTACACAGTAAGTTGTCACACTAATCCTACATCTACACAGTAAGTTGTCACACTAATCCTACATCTACACAGTAAGTTGTCACACTAATCCTACATCTACACAGTAAGTTGTCACACTAATCCTACATCTACACAGTAAGTTGTCACTCTAATCCTCTACACAATAAGTTGTCACACTAATCTTACACCTACACAGTAAGTTGTCACACTAATCCTCTACACATTAAGTTGTCACTCTAATCCTCTACACAATAAGTTGTCACACTAATCTTACACCTACACAGTAGGTTGTCACACTAATCCTACATCTACACAGTAAGTTGTCACACTAATCCTACATCTACACAGTAAGTTGTCACACTAATCCTACATCTACACAGTAAGTTGTCACACTAATCCTACATCTACACAGTAAGTTGTCACACTAATCCTACATCTACACAGTAAGTTGTCACACTAATCCTACATCTACACAGTAAGTTGTCACACTAATCCTACATCAACACAGTAAGATGTCACACTAATCCTACATCTACACAGTAAGTTGTCACACTAATCCTACATCTACACAATAAGTTGTCACACTAATCTTACACCTACACAGTAAGTTGTCACACTAATCCTCTACACATTAAGTTGTCACTCTAATCCTCTACACAATAAGTTGTCACACTAATCTTACACCTACACAGTAGGTTGTCACACTAATCCTACATCTACACAGTAAGTTGTCACACTAATCCTACATCTACACAGTAAGTTGTCACACTAATCCTACATCTACACAGTAAGTTGTCACACTAATCCTACATCTACATAGTAAGTTGTCACACTAATCCTACATCTACACAGTAAGTTGTCACACTAATCCTACATCTACACAGTAAGTTGTCACACTAATCCTCTACACATTAAGTTGTCACTCTAATCCTCTACACAATAAGTTGTCACACTAATCTTACACCTACACAGTAAGTTGTCACACTAATCCTACATCTACACAGTAAGTTGTCACACTAATCCTACATCTACACAGTAAGTTGTCACACTAATCCTACATCTACACAGTAAGTTGTCACACTAATCCTACATCTACACAGTGAGTTGTCACACTAATCCTACATCTACACAGTAAGTTGTCACTCTAATCCTCTACACAATAAGTTGTCACACTAATCTTACACCTACACAGTAAGTTGTCACACTAATCCTCTACACATTAAGTTGTCACTCTAATCCTCTACACAATAAGTTGTCACACTAATCTTACACCTACACAGTAGGTTGTCACACTAATCCTACATCTACACAGTAAGTTGTCACACTAATCCTACATCTACACAGTAAGTTGTCACACTAATCCTACATCTACACAGTAAGTTGTCACACTAATCCTACATCTACACAGTAAGTTGTCACACTAATCCTACATCTACACAGTAAGTTGTCACACTAATCCTACATCTACACAGTAAGTTGTCACACTAATCCTACATCTACACAGTGAGTTGTCACACTAATCCTACATCTACACAGTAAGTTGTCACACTAATCCTACATCTACACAGTGAGTTGTCACACTAATCCTACATCTACATAGTAAGTTGTCACACTAATCCTACATCTACACAGTAAGTTGTCACACTAATCCTACATCTACACAGTGAGTTGTCACACTAATCCTACATCTACATAGTAAGTTGTCACACTACTCCTACATCTTCACAGTAAGTTGTCACACTAATCCTACATCTACACAGTATGTTGTCACACAAATTCTATGTCTACACAGTAAGTTGTCACACTAATCATACACCTACACATTAAGTTGTCACACTAATCTTACATCTACACAGTAAGTTGTCACACTAATCCTACATCAACACAGTAAGTTGTCACACTAATCCTACATCTTCATCATATTTTATACCTCAGTACTACATCTTGGTTTGATTTGGTTTTAGATACATGGCAGATGGACCAACATTACTAGACTGGTGGCTCTGCATCTTGAGTACAGGTAAGGCTGCTGACAACAATTTTATACACTTAACAAATATATTTGTGGCATCCATGCTACCATTAACACAGTCAAAATGACATTAAATCCAAATGTAGTTTAACCAAGGTGACATTCATACTACCATTTATGCCATCAAAATGATGTTAAAATCAAATGTAGTTTAAACTGAGACCTGACCTTGTCACTAAAAAGTGAGATAATCATAAAATTCCTCACATTTGGATCAGTAGAGTAGATGCTAAGTGTTAATTAGAGTTTCAGGGCACAATAACATGTATACACCTGCTTGTTTGTTGCAGTTGTCAACCCATTGGGGCTGTATAATACCGGACGGGAGGCACCACAACATATATTATCTAAGCAAACTCATCTTTAGCTTCTTGTTCTACATATACCAAGATGAGGGAAATCCATGTACAACAGGAAATGATGAGAAAATTTATCTGTACAGATAGGAGAGAAAGATTCACCTGTATAGAAAGGAGAGTGTGTGGCAGATATACCTGTACAGAAAGGAGAGTATGAGGTAGTTACACCTGTACAGACAGGAGACTGATAGGAAGATATACCTGAACAGAAAGGAGAGTGAGAAGAAGATACACCTGTACAGACAGGAAGGTGAGAAGATACACCTGTACAGACAGGAGAGTGAGAAGATACACCAGTACAGACAGGAGAGTGAGAAGAAGATACACCTGTACAGACAGGAGAGCGAGAAGAAGATACACCTGTACAAACAGGAGACTGATAGGAAGATACACCTGTACAGACAGGAGGGTGATAGGAAGATACACTGTACAGACAGGAGGGTGAGAGGAAGATACACCTGTACAGACAGGAGACTGATAGGAAGATACACCTGTACAGACAGGAGGGTGATAGGAAGATACACCTGTACAGACAGGAGGGTGAGAGGAAGATACACCTGTACAGACAGGAGAATGATAGGAAGATACACCTGTACAGACAGGAGGGTGATAAGAAGGTACAGCTGTACAGACAGGAGAGTGATAGGAAGATACACCTGTACAGACAAGAGAGTGAGAAGAAGATAAACCTGTAGAGACAGGAGGGTGAGAAGAAGATACACCTGTACAGACAGGAGGGTGATAGAAAGATACACTGTACATACAGGAGAGTTAGAGGAAGATACACCTGTACAGACAGGAGGGTGATCGGAAGATACACCAGCACAGACAGGTGGGTGTGAGGTAGATACACCTGTACAGTCAGAAGAATGTCCTTGAAATGAATTGTGTTGTTTATACTGGTATTCAATACTGTAGAGTTTGACAAGTTTTTGTATGTCTTGGATGTTAAACATATTAATATGTTAAAGAGTTAAAAACTCTTGTGTGTGTGAAGTGTGAATGTAACATATAATACATTCTTCCACACATGTTTAGGTGTTAAATAAATGTTTGTGTAAATAGGATTTTTTATTTTTAACTCGTCTACCTTAAGGACAATGGAGCTTATACCATGGTGTCTACTGTTGTCCATAACCCCATCCCCGCCCCCAATCATCAAAGTGTTTCAGCAAGTCTACACAACAAAATCTGATACAGAATTTCTAAATTGAAGTCTCACTCTTTCCCCACAATACACATACCAAAGTCCTTCAGGATAGCCCCCGATATAGAAATCCCGGATATAAGTCTCATTCTTTCCTCAAAATACACGATTTCATCAAGTCTACACGAAAACCCCGATATAGAAACCCTCATTTAAATCTCATTTTTTCCTTACAATGAACGATATCCGCAATTCTTTGATTGAAGTTTCGCTCTTTCTCCACAAAATACGATATTAACAAGTTCTACAGAAAATCCCCGAAAAAGAAATCCCGGATTTAGTCTCATTCTTTCCCCAAAATAAACGATTTCAGCAAGTCTACACGAAAACCTCTTGACGAAGAAATCACTGAATGTCTTACATATCAGCGCCTGGAAATGACATTATAAATTCCTTTGCTGAATGCGCACGGAGTGGACCGAATCTACACTGAACATTTTCTGCAATCGACAAGGTACAACGTCTTACCTGCTGTACCACCAACAGACTACAAGTCGTACTTCTTATCAATTTTTCAAAAAGTAGAATGTTATACCTACCGGCATTTTCATTAATACAAACCACGTGTTGTCTTTTACACTGTTGAGCCGAGAAAGGAATACTCTGATCGATGAATACAGATATAAATGTATATACCGAGGTATCAGATATTTTCTTGTAATTTGGTGTGTTGGGATCTGTTCGTACGTGCGTCAACCGTCTGTGGTCAAAACTAGGTCACTGCTACTACGTATAACCGTTATCACAACTAGAAATTGTCGCGATTTTTTAAGTCAGTTTCACTCAAACTTAACATTCTGATTCACGATATAAGGTAATGATTGAGACATTTAACATACATTTCTTATGGCCAGAATGAATTCACGAAACTAGTCAAACCCTACGTTTGCCTTTATGATACTCGTTTCGTACAATTTTGGAGCGCGAGGGAATTAATATTGTCTGCGATGTCTTGTTAGTCTAGTACTCTAACTTCCGGAACAATACGAATCCACCAAACCATCAGTTCACTTTACTAATTATATCTACCACACCAGGTGACAGTGTTTGATGGTCTGACGGGGAGATTGGCCCACGTTCCGTCTTATGACACAAAATCCAGATTTAAAAAAAACTGATGCAGTTTCGACAATTTATTTCTGCACTTTCTGAGGAAGTTGTATGTAAAAGCCAATTAAACCAGCATAGAATTAAGCATCAGGCGTATGTGTTAATACACACGGATAACTCTCGCGTTCGAGTGTCTTTGGATAAATAGAATCTTCCATCACTCTTCAAGTACAACTGTTTAATAAACTTCTCTTTATATATATATATATATATATAAATATATGGCAGGATTCATACAAGTGACTGTTTTCCAAACAGAAATTTCGATAGCTTCTGTGCAAGCTTTAACGCCCATTTAACGGCAAGAGTCATTTTGTAGAAGCTGGTGGCTACTCAACTAACTATTACATACACGAGTGGTCCGCCCTGCTACCGCTTTCAGTAGAGTGGGTTTTTTTCAATCAAGGAAAGTGATAAATGATAATTTTGAAAAAAAAAATAAACAAAAAACAATAAAAAATTACCTCACTAAAACAAAAAAACGTAAGTAAATTAAAGTTAAGAATGCGTTTTCACTTGTCCCCAGGACGAGTCGTTCATACACGGGCTACAGTAGCCGTTACAAGGTAAGTAGTGTAGTGTAGAAGTCTGGCTGTAGTGGCCAATACTTGCCGAAGTAAGTATATTTTAATACTGTACCACTAGGCAACTACCTATATGCACTCTCACTTTTATATTAGATCGAACTGTTATTGACCAGGTAAGCAGTCAGACACGTTCGCTTACCTGAAGAAAGATATGTCATGAAATATTCAACTCTAGCTTAGCAACATGCAACTAATGCTGTTTTATCTCGTGTTCCTCATAGAAAATGCTAATAGCATTAATCTGAAATTAACGAAATCATATTCACCGCTATACTAACTATATTACCCTGTAACGTGTTGACAGTCTGACCACGGCGTCACTGGTCAGCAGTGGACATGCCACGTGTCGGATACGGACGTCCGACTGGCATAGATACAAAGCTGGACAGAGGAGGTCCAAACTTTCGGTTATACTTGCAGCACGCACACTGACGCTAGCGTTGATGTGATAACTGACCAGTGAAGGCTGTTCACTGATGTGTAACCAACGAAGGCTGAACATTGATGTGTTACCAGTGAAGTTTGGCCATTGATGTTTAACAAATAAAGGTTAACCAATGTGTGGCTTGTGAATGGTGACCACTGATGTGTGAAATGTGACCACATGTTACCAGTGAAGAGTGACCGCTGATGTTTAGCGAAATCAGAACAGTCATTGATGTGTAACCAGTGAATGGCGCCCCTGGTGGTTACCAGGGAAGGGTGACCACTAATGTGTGACAAGCGACCACATGTTAGTAGCGAAGAGTAATCACTGATGTGTGACCAGGTACGGAAGATCACTGATGCGTGAAGTGACCACTGATATGTGTTCAGGAGATTTTGACCATTGATTTACGAAGTGACCACTACTACGTGACAAGTGAGTGGTAATCATTTTGGTGACAAGAGATCTGTGACCCCTTATGCCTGACCAGTGATGAGTGTCCTCGGATGGTTGAGTGGCGATGTCCTATGGTCTATTTTGTTGACATAAAGTTTTAGTGGAATAGCAAGTGGTTTCATTTCACCAGAGATATGACATATGGACAACAGCAGTAATAGTAAGTATCACACAACCATAAACTATGATACGTGCCATTCCATATTTAGTTTAGTTACGTACACGTTAAACGATATAAGATGTTATTCTATATATAGCCAAGCTACGTGTCATACCATATATAGTCAAATTACGTGTCATAGCATATATAGTCAATTACGTGTCATACCATATATAGTCAAATTACGTGTCATAGCATATATAGTCAATTACGTGTCGTAGCATATTTAGTCAAATTACGCGTCATAGCATATATAGCCAAACTATGTGGCGTAGCATATTTAGGCAAATAACGTGTCATAGCATATATAGTCAAATAACGTTTCATAGTACATATAGTCAAATTAAGCGTCATAGCATATTTAGTCAAATCATGTGTTAAACTATAAATAGCCAAATAACGTGTCATACCATATATTTAAGAAACATGTTTTCCTTTTCGTTGTTCACTGGTGTGTAAACTGCATTTCTTACTGACATTTCAAATGAACAGCGTATGATCTGGTTACTATTTGACTGTACCCTGTATGGCCTGGTTACTATGTAACCGTACCCTGTATGACATGGTTACTATATAACTGTACCCTGTATAACCTGGTTACTATGCAACTGTACCCTGTATGACCTGGTTACTATATAACTGTACCCATTATGACCTGGTTACTATATAACTGTACCCTGTATGACCTGGTTACTATATAACTGTACCCTGTATAACCTGGTTACTATGCAACTGTACCCTGTATAACCTGGTTACTATATAACTGTACCCTGTATAACCTGGTTACTAACTGTTATTATATATAACTGTACCTGTACTGTACTGTATGACTGGTTACTATGTTGTACCCTGTATGACTTAGTTATTATGTACCTGTACTCTGTATGACTTAGTTACTATGTACCTGTACCCTGTATGACTTAGTTACTATGTACCTGTACCCTGTATGACTTGGAACCTCTATTACTTTACCGTGTATGTTTTGGTTGACAAAGATTCAACTCTTCACTTGAGGACAATTGCTAACAAGTTCCTGATCGCATGAGTAACGTGTTTCTACTTTCTGCACGTGCGCGGTTAACCAGTCCTGATACAGGAGATATTGATCTGTTAGCTTTCTGAATACATCAACTGTCAGCTTCATCCTGATGGTGTGAAGTCTTCTGACTCAAACTTTCATTCATATACATATATTTATATTGATGCTTGCTCGGATATCTCAAACGTCTGAGGCAATCTAATCCTAGGTTAAACAGGTATGTGCAGGGATTTAATACAGTATTGATTCGACTTGTCACCGATAGTAAATTATTGTCCCTTTCATAAAAATATGTAGTTATTTTCTGCGCCGATTCTAAATCTACGATTTCCACCTGTTCTTACACCTTACCCGTTACTCTCAGGGTTTGATAGTCATTAATGTTTTAACCGCGAATCCATCGCGTTGGTCGCTGTACATTAACAATCAGCCATACATAAATCACTATCTGTGTATGCTTATTGATGAAAATGTACGGCAGAACTTTTGGTCTCGCATTGGAGGCCAGCATGACACTTTGCTTAGCTTTTTGAAACTGGTGTAATATCTGACCTCGCTTCGTAGTTCAGTAAAACTCTGATCTTGGTCCCACTTTAGAGACTGGTTTAACATCTGACCTCGTGTCGTAGTTCGGCAAAACCATAGCGGGAAATACTTGTCCTTTGAGATATATACACAGTTACTGTTCTTGGCGAGTGAACAGTTTCTTGTGCATGAAAGCCCGAGTTTGTTGAGTTTTCCGTCCGTTGTTCGCTATCGATGAAAAATTAACTCTATTACTTTCGGCGAATTAGAAGAAGTATTCATGAAAATGTACAATTAATTTCTAATTTAAAAGCAAACGGAATTTCACCGTCAAGAAAGGTTATCGTGAAGTCAGGAGATAGTCCGTGACTGTATACCGAGAGTACGCCTTGCAGGGGTTCCCCTGGTTTCGCGTTTATAACTTTTCTTTTTCTCAGCCAATCGCATATTACTTTTAAAATGACGTAGGACGATTATCCGTCATCTTATTATACCAACCAATGAAATTACTTGAATAAAGCAAACGTCGTCATTTCGATCTAATTTAGAGTCGGGAAATTCCAAAGGGAATTTCTTACCCCGGTATTTGTCACGACAAATCCAGAGCTTCGCATGCTAAAATATGAACGCATATGAGTTTTGAATAATTTCTTGATATAAAAACAGTACACTTACTTCACAATCAACGAGAAAGAACTTACGAATAACATGAAACTGTGTCTCCGTCCGGGCGACGAATTCGGCTTGAGCGGGCTCCTATCATGCTTAGCGTTGTAGTCAAGAACGACAACTCAATACCGCTTCAAGTTCGCGGGAGTGTTAATATTTCACGATATGTCTGACCTTGGTCTTATTTTGGAGACTGGTTTACCATCTGACCTGCGACCTCGTATTTAGTTCGGTAAAAACTGTGACCTTGGTCTCACTTTGGAGACTTGTTTAACATCTGACCTCATGTCTTAGTTCAGTAAAACTCTAATTATGGTCTCGCTTTGGAGACTGGTTTAACATTTGACCTCTTGTCGTAGTTCGGCAAAACTCTGATCTTGGTCTCGCTTTCGAGATCGGCATCACACACCACTTTTCTACGCTGTGTTGTCGTGCAAAGCCACCCGGATGTTTGAAACACTACGTCAAACAATTCAGTCTAGACACTTGTATTCCTTTTAGAACGTGACATTTGTTGATAGGCTTCGGTATGGGATCGGCGTGATTCTTTAAACTGCATTACCCCGTTGACGTATCATAATACAATCTCTATCCACTGATCCGCTGATATATACCGTTGTATTTTTGGACTAAAGTTGTCTCCCTTTGGTTATGTCCTCGCTTTCAGGCTTGCTTTGGATCGATGGCTTTCCTCTGAATCATTATGTACAATAACTCTAACCCTAATTTCCTTGCGTAACGGATTCATTTTCAGAATTCGTACAAGGTCAGGCGGATATTAACTACAGGTAGTCGTCTGACGCATCTCTTAATGTAATAACGGCGCTAATGTAATGATTGTTACATTAAGCGTTGTGACCGTTACGCTTAATGTAATAAACTTATCTTTATTACATTAAGAGTTGCTTAATGTAATTAACTTATCTATATTACATTAAGAGTTGCAATTGTTACGCTTAGAGTAATACAAAATAAATTATTACACTAAGCGTTGTTATTGTATTTAAATTACCGCTAATGTAACAATTTTTATACTGTTACGGAAGTACACTGCGTGTCGTTTACAAGACAACATAGCAATAATATACTATAATGGTGTATGTTCCCGTCAAGGTTTGGAGGGGCCGGGGTGTCGGTGGCCGAACGGTCTAGGTCGTTGCGCCCCGTGATCGTTGTAACCTCATAGGTTTAGAGTTCGAAACCTGTTCAGAGAAGATAATAATTTTTAGGGATTTCCTTTCCTTGTGGTCGAAATTTGGCAGTTACTTGCTGGAGGTCGGTGGTTCTATGCAGATATTCTAGGGTCTTCCTCTGCAAGTTAAACTGGCATATCCGTAAATAACCTGCAATGTGTTGATCGGACAATCAACCAGTTAATTCTCCTCGTCAAGATCTGGCCAGTTTTGAACTATTTGAACAAGTTTAATAACGGCTAATGACAGATTCGTGTGTAGTATCAATTTAGAGTCAGTAGAAAATTATTATATTAACGGCAGGACATGTATTGCTAACTGCTGCCACAAATGTAATACGTATTGCATTACAATTAATTGTGATTAGCTTTCGCTTCAAATACTTTCATGGAGCTATGTCCCTTTATGGACTAAGGGAAATGTAGTCAAAAGTTTGTGCAGTCATACAATCGCTTACTATCCAACAAAATTTGGTAGGCCTTTAAGCGGCCATCGCCATGTGTAGTTTTGCATCTGCATTTAGCGTCAGCGCAACAGCTTAAGTCATTTGCAGATAATATCAGGTACATGGCATGCATGGCAGACTCAATGCATGCACCCAACCCACTAGCCACACCGTTATACTGACTCCAGTTCGTTCAGTTCCATGCTCCTTGCAGTATTAATGTTTTAAGGGGGGAAGCTCCAAGTGCCATTTTAAACGTCTTTGATATGACATAGCTGACGGGGATCATCATACTGTGTATGCATACAAAAAGTGTGGTAACTGGCATTTTAGCCATATGCAAGGTTTGATCATTCTAATCATTAATCTAATCATAACTGAAGCTATAATCGGAAAACAAAAGTGCTGACGTCCGTACATCCGACTGTCCGAACAGACGGACAGGGTGATTCCTATAGGGCTCCAGCATCTCGATGTGGGGAGCTAATAATACCCTAAATGACATAACAATACAAAACAGAAGACTCAATATGTCCCCCTTCATTTCGGACTTAATTACACTAAGGACCTTCTTAAATTTGTCAATAGTACAGTTTCGGCGCTTAATGTAATAAAATAATAATTATTACATTAAACGTAACAGTTGACCCGCTTAATGTAATAAAAATAACTTTATTACATTAAGCGTAGCCATTGCAACGCTTATTGTAATAATTATTACATTAAGAGTTGCATCAGTCGTCATCCGCAGCTAAGTAACACCTGTTACTATTGTATCAGATTACTTACCTGTACTGTACCTAGCTTACATCAGTAAATATTATTCTTAAATCAGCAGATTTCTGTAAAGAATGCGGGAACACTTTTGAAATTCCAAAATAGCCTGTTGTCAGATCGGAAAGTTGTCAAAGTCCGCTTTCGAAATCAAACTTCTAAGTAGAAACGCAAACATCCTCATCGCAGGATGCTTCCAGCTGCTCGCTAAGTAACAGTTTGTGCTATGGTGGTAGTTGTTTTTAGAAAGAACACGCTACACACATAGCATTTCATCCCTTTAAACTGAGACAAGAAACAAAGGGGATGAGGTTGGAACTGGTCACAATATAGAGGTAAATTATATATCATTAAAAGTCTTTGTTGTTGAATGAATGTATTCTGATATTTTGCTAGCGGCAACATTAGTTGATGAGGACTTCACGCAACCATATATGGAGGGTTCTTATTTTCTTACCAACCCTCCAACAGTAGCGCATATTTCCAAGAAACGTACATCTGTTTAACCAAAACGATGGAATACAGGTAATACTGTAGGTGGAGAAGTGGGCTAGTTTTTATACTTACTAATGTAACGGAAACATGTTGTCTTCCATTGTGCTGAGAGGCAGGTTCTCAAGTGGATTTTACCGATCTATCCATCACATTTATCAGTTAACCTCAATATTGAGATAAACAATATATTGTTTTCTTTATTTTTACCTTGCAGTTACTATCTCGGCCATCAACAGCCGTGTTTGAGGCTATGCAGTCTGCCAGGTCAACACAAGGCTCCCTGACGCCCATTCTAGAGAGAGCATGCGTAGTCCATTCGAACAAGAAGATAGCCGTGGTGTGCACGACTTGTAGCAACGAGTTTATCTGCACGAAGTGCATCAGTACCGTCCACCGTGGCCATAACTATCTCGACCTTGAAGACTTTCTCGACTCAAAGAAACAGGATATCTCAGAATTTCTAGATCTTGAAGATATTGGCAGCAAAATTGCTACGAAACACGAACAAATTGAAAAACTTGCGGAAACAATATCAGAGAACCGACTTCGAACAGACAGAGTTATACAGGAGGTAAAAACCCGAGCGGTTGAATTAAAGGGTGAAATCGACAAAATAACTGCAGATTTCATTCGGGAATGTAAGGTTCACGGAAGTAAGAATCTGAATAGTCTAGAGAAACTCGAACAGAACCTGACGCGCCAATTAGCTTGTCTCAAGGCGGCCGCCATTAGCCATCAGAACGTGCCGCTCGACTCATCTCCGTTTGATGATATGCTGCGGAGAGATTCCCTTAAGGACGAATCGTACACCGACATTCCCACTCTGACGTCATTGGTCTTTATCAAACAAGACGAACACTCGACTATCTTAAGAACCTTGTTCGGGTCACTACGATGCATCAGTGCGTACGGTCCTGACGTAGTGAGCTTGCCATTAGGTAAATCCACCGTAAAAAAGGCACCAAGCAATGGTCGAGTGCTCGACACACTGACTGGCGTTGCGGACGGGAAGCACGTGCAAGCAATATTTCCTTGTGACGACGATTCAGCATGGCTCGTCCCGGGCAAAAGCCATCGTGTAAAATTAACGACAAGAAAAGGCGAGGTCATCCAAACCATCACGCTCGAGAGAGGCGTTGTCATCAATGATGTCATGCGCACTGCCGATAAGTACTTGACGACGGTTTGCTGTGATGATGGTTCCGTACGTCAAATTTTGCCGAGCGGCAGGTCCCAAAACCTTTTCTCTACTGGAATCAACATCACAAATCTTTGTGAACTGTCAGCTTCCGGTTACTTCATCGCGTGTCACTCCATCCAGCGGAAACTTGTAAAATACAACCAGAGAGGGGACGCGATAGAAACGGTGGACAGAGATGCGTACGGTGTTCGCCTCTTTACTAAACCTGTTCGTGTTCGTCTGAACAGAAATAATGGCGACATTGCCGTAGTAGAGTGGTCGTCTCCCGAACACGTGATCATCATGAACGATAAACTACAGGTGATATCTCGATTCTTCGGTGATTCAAAACGACGTCATTCCTACGGTACCTACGGATCATTTAAAGGTCAAGGATCAAAGGAGAAAGGTCATTTCGACCCAGCTGACGTAATCTTCACGAAGAACAACCACATAGTCATAGCCGACGTATGGTCCAATTCTCTTGTGATGATTGATAGAAATGGAAAGAAACTGAAAACTTCGTTCAAATTTAACTTCCAGCCCCTGTGCCTGGGTTTACAACCTAACGGAGACTTATGGGTTGGTTCACACGACGGTCACGTGCAGATCATGAGATTCTGAAGAGAGGCAATAATTCAGTAGTTTGTATGACATTTTGGAAAGGACATTACATTTTAGCTGGAGAGGGACGTATGTTGTTGTTGTATTTGTAGGTAATTGGGTATAATTTACATGTAAGTGTGTCTTGCTATAGATGCAGTGGCTGTCTATAGGTAAAAGGTGCTACCGTATGTTCTCTTGTGTTTGTATGCATGTGTGCTAATTTTCAGTACACATTCCTTAAACTGTCCTTTCATTTGATATGCCTGTGACTACACACTCTATTTTTTCCATAACACGATGTTAAACATTCAAACAATATTTTTCTGTGTGTATCACTGTCAGAGCCAGTACAGACTTGTAGATGCTTTCACACCCTTAAGGATGAGATAAGGGATCTCAACCCAATGTAGAAGATGATTAATTGTCAAACCTGACGCTTGCTCCTAAAGGGGATGAATGATTATTTTTCTCTTGTCCCATTTTCTTGTCCGAGTGGAAAATAAAGTGTATTATGTGCAAATAAAAACAAGTGGATGGCGGATGAATGGTGAAGAGGACCGCGCCTTCACGCATTGTGATTTAATCATACAAAAATATCATTCTATTGTACATGCCAATAAAACGTCAAATAAACTTACACTCTTGATATTATATATACGTATATTCAATAATAAGTTGTAGATTCAGATGAGTTTCAATCTTGACGATGATACAGAATTGTCAGTTTTAAGGATAACACAATTTCTGATTTCCTCCACAACCCAAATGTGACAAGTCCTTAAATGGTCGTGGCTGTTAACAGGACGTAAAGCAACTTTTAAAGAAAACTTCAAGGCATTCAAAAGTAAACATTGCTCGACTTCATATTTACAGCGAAGTGTTCGATAAATTGTGATTGGTGTACATGTTTTTTACTTCCGGTTTGAAATGATGTGTTGGATGCTTGCTGATTATAATACCTCAGGATTTCGACACAGTTTGATCACTGCTCCAGAAGGAGACTGGCTTCAGATCACAGCTATATTTCCGCATCGTACACGAATGTAGCTTCTAATGAAATTTCAGGTCAGTCTTTTTTTTTCAGGGCTTATCTATGACATAAATGTATTTTTTACGAATAAATGACGTTATATGTTTATTTCAGTGATAATTGTATTTCGACAAAGTTTTCGTGTTGGTGTGTGCAACAAGACACAATACACTGGGTGAAGAGGCTTTGTGTAAATTTGCTGCAATTTCTCACCCTCTCTCACAATTTAGTAGAATTCTGAAATTTTAAATTTATGATACTGCCAAGTTTGCTGTAGACTCAGTCTGCGTAGATATACATAATAACCAGGCCAATGGTTTTATATTCTACAATATTCAAACTTTCGTTTCCCTTATGTTTAACATAGAGGGAAACTGTGATGCCAACTATCTGTGTACTTCCGGTTTACAGTGACCGATGGTTTATAAACAATGAGTAATTTGATATTCAGCCTGATGTGCCAAAATACTTTTTCTAATAAATTTGGTAAATGACAATAATGTACATCCCAAATATTACAGGAACCAGATCAAAAATATGGAAATAAACAGCAGTTTATCTACTTTTTTCTGCTCTTCCTATTGATGGTGGACTACATGTTCACGCCCTTTAATAATCTTAAGAATAATGTCTTTATTTATACTTACTGTCGGTGCCAATCGCTAACTACAATATATGTATATTTAAGATATGATCAAATTGTTACTGGCTAGTACCGTTTGTTAATAACAAAATATACAACCCAAGTATGGCGACACAGATGCTATCTCGAATGTCAACATCGACGGTATTGCGAGTTTTTATACTTCCGGACATATCTTAATGTACAGTAAACAATCCACAGGAAGCAATATATATCTAACCCAGCAATCTACGTATAATAATAATGTTTCGTTTTGTTTCACTCTCATCTGCCATATCTACAGTCACGTGTCCAGCGGTTGATTATAATTGTACAAACAGGTCATGGCTGTCCGAGATCTACGAAAACAATATAAAATGTTTGAAGTTAATACTGAGATCACACTACGTGGACACAGGACAACCGACATGTGTAAACTGCCGTCAGTCTCATGTCGTGTATATGTCAATATAAGGCAAGTGTCACTCTGATGGCATTCACAATGTTTACGCCGGACGTAGCTGTACATTATATTGCTACATCGGTCATATTTCCATGACTGCTACTTCCGGTATTCCACAGGCTAGTCACTTTATCCCGACTGTCCGCCTTGTTGTAGCCGACCGTACTTTTCGCAGTAAGGTGCTTACCACTACTGCACGATACACATGTTAACTTTGGCGCACGCGCAGTAGATGTGCGAGTGCTAATTGTTTTTAAACTTTCCCTCCTGATAACCACGCCTGGAGGAAACGTGTGACCTTGTCTCGTGGCCATTATTTCGCGTTCCGTGATCGTCTCTGTTTCATGCAAGATCTCCTCCTCAGTATCCGACCCTGAAAAAGATACACGTGACATCACATTCAGGGTTCATTATACTGACTTTTTTTATGTTGTAGAAATAATTGTAACAGTTTGTAGGTTCACTCGAGTTTCTGGCGACTCTGCTGTTCAGTCTGCTTTTCACGTGTAATGTTATAGGTTAATAGGATTTTTCCGCTGTTCTAGTGTCGTTATTGTTAGATCAGATCTGGAGATTTACTTACAACAGGACTGTGGTTTCCGAAAGCGGCAGATGATGTAAGTGATTCCAATGAGGCATATACCGAAGCCAAGCAGCGTCCCAAGGATCATCCAGTACCTACAAGTGATGAAATACCAAATCACGCTGACCAACATCGTTAAGAAAGATCAGTGGGACCGACACTGACCAGTAATTATCTGTCATTGTTAAACTGTAGAATTCAGACTCTAAACCAATATATACCAGAATTAGACAGATACTAACTGACGAATAACAGGATGTAAGACATGACATGTATAAGTATTACTTACATGGTAGGGTGTATGACGGGACATGTAATACTTACAGGGTAGGATGTATGACATGACATGTATAAGTATTACTTACATGGTAGGATGTATGACGGGACATGTAATACTTCCAGGGTAGGATGTTTGACGGGACATGTAATACTTACTGGGTAGGATGTATGACATGTATAAGTATTACTTACATGGTAGGATGTATGACGGGATATGTAATACTGACAGTGTAGGATGTATGACGGGACATGTAATACTTACAGGGTAGGATGTATGACGGGACATGTATTAGTATAACTTACAGGGTAGTATGTATGACGGGAAATGTAATACTTACAGGGTAGGATGTATGACGGGACCTGTATTAGTATAACTTACAGGGTAGGATGTATGACGGGACATGTAATACTTACAGGGTAGGATGTATGACGGGACCTGTATAAGTATTACTTACAGGGTAGAATGTATGACGGGACATGTATTAGTATAACTTACAGGGTAGGATGTATGACGGGACATGTAATACTTAGGGTAGGATGTATGACGGGACATGTAATACTTAGGGTAGGATGTATGACGGGACATGTAATACTTAGGGTAGGATGTATGACGGGACATGTAATACTTACAGGGTAGGATGTATGACGGGACATGTAATACTTAGGGTAGGATGTATGACGGGACATGTAATACTTAGGGTAGGATGTATGACGGGACATGTAATACTTACAGGGTAGGATGTATGACGGGTCATGTATTAGTATTACTTACAGGGTAGGATGTATGACGGGACATGTAATACTTACAGGGTAGGATGTATGACGGGACATGTAATACTTACAGGGTAGGATGTATGACGGGACATGTAATACTTACAGGGTAGGATGTATGACGGGACATGTAATACTTAGGGTAGGATGTATGACGGGACATGTATTAGTATAACTTACAGGGTAGAATGTATGACGGGACATGTATTAGTATAACTTACAGGGTAGGATGTATGACGGGACATGTATTAGTATAACTTACAGGGTAGAATGTATGACGGGACATGTATTAGTATAACTTACAGGGTAGGATGTATGACGGGACATGTATTAGTATTACTTACAGGGTAGAATGTATGACGGGACATGTAATACTTACAGGGTAGGATGTATGACGGGACCTGTATTAGTATTACTTACAGGGTAGAATGTATGACGGGACATGTCATACGTACAGGGTAGGATGTATGACGGGACATGAAATACTTACAGGGTAGGATGTATGACGGGACATGTAATACTTACAGGGTAGGATGTATGACGGGACATGTTTAAGTATCACTTACAGGGTAGGATGTATGACGGGATATATTTAAGTATCACTTACAGGGTAGGATGTATGACGGGACATGTATTAGTATTACTTACAGGGTAGGATGTATGACGGAACATGAAATACTTACAGGGTAGGATGTATGACGGGACATGTAATACTTACAGGGTAGGATGTATGACGGGACATGTTTAAGTATCACTTACAGGGTAGGATGTATGACGGAACATGAAATACTTACAGGGTAGGATGTATGACGGAACATGAAATACTTACAGGGTAGGATGTATGACGGGACATGTATTAGTATTACTTACAGGGTAGGATGTATGACGGAACATGAAATACTTACAGGGTAGGATGTATGACGGGACATGTAATACTTACAGGGTAGGATGTATGACGGGACATGTATTAGTATTACTTACAGGGTAGGATGTATGACGGAACATGAAATACTTACAGGGTAGGATGTATGACGGAACATGAAATACTTACAGGGTAGGATGTATGACGGGACATGTAATACTTACAGGGTAGGATGTATGACGGGACATGTTTAAGTATCACTTACAGGGTAGGATGTATGACGGGACATGTATTAGTATTACTTACAGGGTAGGATGTATGACGGGACATGTGATACTTACAGGGTAGGATGTATGACGGGACATGTATTGTATTACTTACAGGGTAGGATGTATGACGGGACATGTG